AACCCGAAACAATAACCACCGTACCATATATAAAAAACACCTCAAAACTGACAGCCAGACTATGACACGACCAGATGTCCTTGGTTTCAGTACTCACAGACGAGAAAAACCACACTTTCAACTGGGACAACACTACTATCATTGGAGAAGCCAATAGAGGACAGCAAGGGAATTCTTGGAGGCTTGGCATTCATCTGCGGACTCCAACAACAAACGAATTGAATTAGACCCGATATACCAACCATTATAACGCACAGCTGGAACCGGCACCTACCAGAAGCAGCAAAAACCAGACCATATAAATTCGAACTGGCATGAGACAACAGCACTTCATAGGAGGTTCCACAGCACTGAGGATGTGACCTAGTAAGGGGACGAAACATCTGCTATCAAACCTCCTAGCTTGGCGAACACACCAACATCTACAACTAACACCCGAGCTACAAATTTTCACTCAAACCCTGAAGAGGGTATTCTGTTTAGACAACAACCTGGATTTGTATAGTGCCTTTACAATTGGAAAACATTCCTAAGCAAGTCAAAGAATTAACTATTATGAGATGTGAGGAAAATTTGGCCAGATAGGACAATTTCTGTAAAGGGGATAAACTTATACAGTAATCACAAGAATGATTTCTGACATTGTCTCAAATATAAACTAGAGATGTTACATTAGATCTGACGTCAATAATGATGAGATAATGAACAGCTTGATGACTGACTTGCATTTTAGCTTCAGTCAAGGGCTCTATCTGTGTTTTGTATTGCTTATTTTGTTTGGCATTAACTCAGTGAAAATGTTATAAATAACATATTTATAGACACCATTGAGCAGAAAAGGATTTTACAAAAAGGTGCAGAAGGATTACAGCAATTGAACAGATTCAAAAGAATAAATGGCTTACTCCTGTTCCTTTGTTGTTAGGGATAAATAAATGACATATTAATTTTTTTATCAGTAAATGTGAGATGCACGAATAACAAAATACCCAACAATGAATAGGCTGTTCGGTATGACAGAGCAATTAGGAAATGCTTAAAGTACGACAGTTTATCAGATTTTGAACTATCGTATTGTATGTCAACAATTGCCATTTTAAATAGACTACAGAGGCAGAATTACATTGTATCTGTCCAAGATACTAGGATTCTGTAAAATGTACTGAGATGGAATTGCAGCATGATGTTCTCTTTTATAGTCTACATTTACAAAAAAATTGGTAGCATTATGAGCAAATTAAAATGGCAATAAGTAAAAATTCAGATCTTAGGATAATGACTTGGAAAGAAGGGAAGCAATGTTAACAATTTTTCTTATGGTAGAAAAGACTGAAATGACACAAGTAGTCAACAGTTTTGAAAAAAAAATCATAAAATGCGTGTCATGGCAACATAGAGGGAATTTAAGGTATCGCAGCATGTGAATAGTGAAAGCTGATTTGGAAAAGGGATTTGTGCCTAACTTGAAAGGAGATTGTGGGAATTATGATATTTAGTTTATTTTTTTCTTCACAGTAGAATATTTAATTTATGGATTTGACTTTCATCAAGTTATGGTATGCCCATTCTGTGAGCAGTATGTCACTCTTCTGCAACTAATGTTTTATCCTTAAGATACAGCTAGGATGGCATACCAGGAGCAGTACAATGTGGTGTCAACCTGGTGAAGGACAGTATTACTTGCATGCCATGTGTACGATGGACAGAGCTGAACAATACACAAGCAACAGATCAGATCAGTTTGGCAGTCCTGCCACACCCAAGTCATTGAATAGCTCATTAAACAACAATGGTACAACTTTGTACAGAGTATCCTAACTAATATAATTTACCTAAAATAAAAAAAGTTTTTTTTTTACAAAAAGGCAAGTGAAGGGATATGGTCTCCATTCCTGGGCTAGCCTTGTAGCTCTTGAGAAGGTAGTAGTGAGCTTCTTCCATGAACTACTCAAACCATTTGGTATGGTAGATCCACAATGCTGTTAGGGAGAGAGTTCCAGCATTTTGACCCAGAGACATTGAAGGAATGGTCATTAAATTTCTGAGACAGTTTGGTGAGTGATTTGGAGGGGAAATTGCAGATGGTGGTGTTCTTACGTATTTGCTGCTGTTGACCTTCGAGGTGGTACATGGTCATGGGTTTGGAAGATGTTGCCGAAGGAGCCTTGGTTACTTGTTAATCCATTCCCCCCATCTCACCCCTCATATTTGCCAGCAATGCGCACTGGGGTACAGAAAGGAAGTGTGTTCCTATGTCACTAATTACAGACAGTGCAGAAATTTGATTACGTAGGGACTGAAATTTGAAGACTTCATAAACCCAGAACCACAATGATCCCAGTTTCAAAATTTATGGTTTAGATCATTTTTTTAACTTCTCTTGACAATCAAAAATTAGCTGCCTAACTTCACTCCCTCTAATGCAACTATCAGTAGATAAATCATTTTAAAACTGTATGCCAACGGTAATCTACCTTACACACCTGTGGTGAGCTGACAATCCAATAATCATGTAGGGAAATAAAGTACAGTCAAATCTCACAAATAACCAGCTGTATCATTTTTGGGTTGAGAAAAGGCTTATTCATCAGCATTACTCTCTACTCTCCTTTAAATTTTACCTTGGGATGTTTCATGTTCTTTGGAGCAGGCAGCTTAGGATGGTTTTATCTGAAGTACTGTGGCTGGATTATCACTCTGAATTATATTGGAGGCAAGTAACATAACATACTGGAAATTATAGTGGGACAGTCAGCATCCATGCCTCCCACAGCAGCCCCCCTTGCACCATTGTATAATAGTGCTGTCCCCTCCACACTTCACGTCAGCTCTGAAGAAGAGTCCATTAGACGTCACTAACTCTGCCCCCACACCCAGCTCTACACCCAGTCCCAGCCCCAAGCCCTGCCAGGTATTCACCATCTGCCCTGACCTCCCCCTCACTGAGGACGAATGGTCAGTCCTCAGCAAAGGACTCACCTTCATTCCCCTGTGCCCACACATCAATGAATTCCATTCACACTTGGATGTCGAACAGTTTTTCCGCCTCCACGCCTATTTCTTTAACCGCGAGTCTAACCCACCCTCTACAACCTTCCAACATACCTTATCCTCCTGGACACCACCCCAAGGCCTCCTACTCTCCCTCGACCTCTTCATCTCCAACTGCCGCTGCGACATTGATTGCCTCAACCTCTCCCCGACGGAACATGCAGCCCTCCGCTCCAGCCTTAACCTCACCATCAAACCAGCAGATAAGGGAGGTGCGGTAGTGGTATGGCGCACTGACTTTTACATCACCGAGGCCAGGAACCACCTCTCTGACACCTCCTCCTATTGCCCCCTTGATCATGACCCTACCCCTGACCACCAAAACATACAAATCTACTCTAAAATCCTAGACACCAAACCATCATCTCTCAAACCATTAATAACCTCACCACCTCAGGTGACCTCCCTCCCACCCACAGCCTCCAATCTCATTGTTCCCCAACCTTGCACCACCCGTTTCTATCTCCTTCCCAAAATCGACAAACCTGACTGTCCTGGCCGACCCATTGCCTCTGCCTGCTCTTGCCCCACTGAACTTATCTCTGCTTACCTTGACTCTGTTTTCTCCCCCACGGTCCAGGAACTCCTCACCTAAGTCCAGGGCAACACCCAGTGCCCTACACCTCCTCCAAGACTTCCAATTCCCTGGCCCCCAACACCTCATCTTCACGATGGACATCCAATCCCTGTACACTTGTATCCCCAACGTGGATGGCCTAAAAGCTGTCGGCCTCTTCCTCTCCTGCAGGCCCAAAGACTCCCCCTCCTCGTTTTTCAAGGACTGCACCTTCCCCCCCACCTCAGTGGTCGAGAACACCCTCGACTGTGTCTCCTGCATTTCCCGCAACTCATCCCTCACACCCCCTCCCTGCAATAAAAACCAAAACAGAATCCCCCTCATCCTCACGTACCACCCCACCAACCTCCGGATTGAACGCATCATCCTCCGACACTTCCGCCATCTGCAATCCGACCCCACCACCAAACACATTTTTCCCTCCTCACCCTTATCTGCTTTCCGGAGGGACCACTTTCTCTGTGACTCCCTTGTCTGCTCCACACTCCCCTCCAGCCCCACCTCACCCGGCACTTTTCCCTGCAACTGCAGAAAGTGCTACACATGCCCCTACACCTCCCCGCTCACCCCCATCCCAGGCCCCAAGAAGACTTTCCACATCAAGCAGATGTTCACCTGCACATCTGCTAATGTGGTATACTGCATCCGCTGTTCCCGTTGTGGCCTCCTCTACATCGGGGAAACCAAGCGGAGGCTCGGGGACCGCTTTGCAGAACACCTATGCTGGGTTCGCACTAAACAACTGCACCTCCCAGTCGCGAACCATTTCTGCTCCCCCTCCCATTCCGCAGACGACATGTCCATCCTGGGCCTCCTGCAGTGCCACAAGGATGCTACCCGAAGGTTGCAAGAACAGCATCTCATATTCTGCTTGGGAACCCTGCAGCCCAATGGTATCAATGCGGACTTCACAAGCTTCAAAATCTCCCCTCCCCCTACCGCATCCCAAAACCAGCCCAGCTCGACCCCGCCTCCCTAACCTGTCCTTCCTCCCACCTCAAGCTGCATCCCCATCTCCTACCTACTAACCTCATCCCGCCCCCCTTGACCTGTCTGTCTTCCCTGCACTGACCTATCTCCTCCTTACTTCCCCACGTACACTCACCTTTACTGGCTCCATCCCCGCCTCTTTGACCTGTCTGTCTCCTCTCCACCTATCTTCTCCTCTATCCATCTTCCATCCGCCTCCCCCTCTCTCCCTATTTATTTCAGAACCCCCTCCCCCATTTCTGAAGAAGGGTCTTGGCCCGAAACGTCAGCCTTCCTGCTCCTGTGATGCTGCTTGGCCTGCTGTGTTCATCCAGCTCTACACCTTACTATATCTAGGAATTAGGCGTTTTATTTTCCATTTGATCTGTGGTAGGCGCTGTTTCTTACTTTAAATCGAGGTCATCCTGTGGAGACATGGAAGAGAGGTGATTGTGGAAAGAAATGAGTGAAGGACACTATCCAGACTCTTCTAAGTCGATGTGATAGTTTCATGGCATTCAAGGGCAAAACCGCTGGCACTAAGGTATGGGCATTGGGAGATGGTCGGAGATTAACAGTTCATTGTGAAAGGTTGAGGATGAATTGGTGAAACACAATCCTCTCTCTCAGAAGCGGAAGTAAGCTTCCATTTCCCTCGTCCGAACGACACAGCTGGACAAATAAATAAACTGCCCTCTTTCCTCAGCGCATCAAAGAGATGTTGTCTTGGATTTTGTCATTCTTTAAATAATTGTAATTAAATGCAAATACAAACAATATTATTTTTAAATGCATGAAAATGCCATTGTTTTCAACATCGGCCGTAATGACAGATAATGGAATATACGCATTACGTTAATGCAGGATTTTGCAACTGGTGTTCACCTCTTAATTATAAATTACTTAGCGAAATCCATTTTGTACTTACTCACCAGCACATTGTTTAAATATTCAAGACTAAGCTTGCAAAACCGATTTATTTTTAACTTAAAATATAGATACTACCTGGGGATGAGCTGTAGGCTTGTATCTGAGGAAGAATGGGAAATTGCGATGCTCTAATTTTGTTGTTTTAGTAATGACAATTACGAACAATGTTATTACTCTTTATGGCATTTCCAGGAACCTAAACCTTTTTCAGCTGATGGCAGGAACTGATTGTATTTGTCAGGGCTGGAGTTGCAACAATACAGGATTTTTAATACTGGCTTTTTACCTTGTTCTAAAAGAAACAGCGTGGAATTCAAGTGGAAAGGGGTTGGGGGAAGCCACTGATCTTCTATCTCTTCTAACTCGAATGGCCTGTTCCTGTGCTGTAAATTGTAAAACTTTTGTAGACTGCGAGTGAACTGAAATGATAGTGTCACCCTGAGTCTTTCCTCTTTTCTACAGGGATGATGTTCACACAAAGGACCGTAGTTTGGAATTCATGGGACAGTGGATTCAAAAAGACTTTTCCTGAGTCCTCAGTACTTTGTTCTAATGTTCAGCAGCGTTTTACCATGCATGTAAAATAGTTTAGTCATGTATCTGTCAATCCATTTAAACCCAGATTGTTCATTGTTCATGAACACATTGTTCACCTGCAAAGGGGAGCTTTGTAACTTTAGGTTACAAAAGAAAATGAACTGCGTCAGTGAGATAAAGCTCTTCCAACATTGGCTACTAACACGTCCAATTATCTACCAAATTGTAGAGTAACGTTTTCTGAGAGCATTTCCTGATATAATTTTTTCTGTTCTTTCATGGGATGTGACCATAGACCATAAGATGAAGTAGCAGAAGTTGGCTATTCAGCCCATCAAATCTGCTTCATCATTCTGTGAGATCAAGGCTGATCTGATAATTTAAATTCTACTTTCCTGCCTTTTCCCCATAATTCTTGATACCCTTACTGATTTTAAAAAACAAAATCGCTCATAGGATGTGGGCATCGCTGGCAGGCCAGCATTTATTGCCAGTCCCCAGTTGCCCTTGAGAATGTGGTGGCAAGCTACCTTCTTGTATCACTGCAGTCCATGTGCTTTATTTAGATCCACAATGCCCTTTGGGAGGGAGTTTCAGGAGTTTAACCTCGCAACAGTGCAGGAACAGTGATATATTTCAAGTCAGGATGGTGAGTGACTCGGAGGGGAACTTTCAGTTGAATTGTTCCCATGGATTTGCTGCCCTTGTCCTTCTAGGTGGAAGTGGTCGTAGTTCTGGAAGGTGCTGTCTAAGAATTCATGGTGATTTCTGCAGTGCATTTTGTAGGTAGTACAAACTGCTGCTACTGAGCGTTGGTGGTGGAGGCAGTGGATGCTTGTGAATGTTGTGCCAATCAAGCGGCTGCTTTGTTCTGGACGGTGTCAAGCTTCTTGAGTGTTGTTGAAGCTGCACCCCTCCAGGCAAATGGATTGCACTGCTGAGTTGGGCCTTGTAGAAGATTCACAGGGGAGTCAGGAGTTGAGTTACTCTCCACAGTATTCCTAGCTTCTAAAAGCCATTCTATTTATATGGCAAGTGCAGTTAAGTTTCTGGTTAATGGTAACCCCCAGGATGTGGATAGTGGAGGATTCAATTATGTTAACACCACTGAATGTCAAAGGGACGGTGGTTAGATTGTCTCTTATTGGTGATGGTCATAGCCTGGCATTTGTGTGGCATGAACAGTGCTTGCCACTTGTCAGCCTAAGCCTGGATATTATCCAGATATTCTCACATTTGAACATAGACTGCGTCAGTGTCTGAGGAGCCGCAAATGGTGCTGAACATTGTGCAATCATTGGTGAATATCCTCTTCTGACCTTATGATGGAGGGAACATCTTGATGAAGCAGCTGAAGTTGGTTGGTCTGAGGAACTCCTGCAGAGATGTCCTGGTGTTGAGATGACTGACCTCCAACAATCATAAACATCTTCTTATGTCCCAGGTATGGTTCCAACCAGCAGAGAGTTCTCTCACTGAATCTAGTTTTTCTAGGGCTCTTTGATCGCACACTCGGTCAAATGTGGCCTTGACATCAAGGGCTGTCACTCTCACCCCATGTCAGGAACTCAATGTTTTTGTCCATGTTTGAAGCAAGACTGAAATGAGGTAATGAGCTGAGTGGCCCTAGTGGAACCCAAACTAGGCATCACTGAGCAGGTTATTGCTGAGCAGGTAACATTGTTGATGACACCTTCTGTCACTTTTTATTGATGATCGAGAGTAGACCGGTGGGCAGTAATTGACCGGGTTGGATTTGCTCTGTTATTTGTGTAATGGTCATATCTGGACAACTTTACGCATTATTGGGTAGATGCCAGTGTTGTAACTGTACTGGAAGAGCTTGGCAAGGGGAGCAGCGAGTTCTGGAACACAAATCTTCAGTACCAATGCTGGAATGTTGTCGGGATCCACAGCCTTTGAATTATCCAGTGCCTCCAATTATTTCTTGATGTCATGTGGAGGAATTGAATTGGCTGAAGTGATACCTGTGGTGCTGGAGCCCACTGGAGGAGGATGAGATGGATCATCCACTCAGCACTTCTGGCTGAAGATTACTGCAAATGCTTCAGCTTTAAAAACCTGTAAGAACTGCAGATGCTGGAGTCAGAGATAACACAGTGTGGATAACACAGCAGGCCAGGCAGCATCAGAGGAGCAGGAAAGTTGACCTTTGGGGTCAGGACCCTTCTTCAGAAATGGGGAGGGGGAAGGGAGCTCAGAAATACATGGAGAGGAGGGGTGGGGCTGGGGAGGGTATGTGGGATGGTGGTAGATGAGTGCAGGTAGGGAGTGGTGGGGATTGGTCAGTAAGGTGGGAGGAGTGGATAGGTGGGAGAGAAGATGGACAGATTGCATCAAGTCAAGGAGGCGGGGATGAGAGAGGGAGGGTTGGTCATGGGATTAGGCTGGGGATAGAGAGATTTTGAAACTGGTAAAATCCACATTTAGGTCATTGGGCTGTAGGCTCCTGAGGTGGAATATGAGGTGCTGCTCCTCCAGTTTCCGGGTGGTATTATTGTGACACTGGAGGAGGCCCAGGATGGACATGTCACCCAGGGAGTGGGAGGGGGAGTTGAAATGATTTGCAACCGGAAGGTGGTGTTGTTTGGCGCAAAGAGCGTGCAGGCCCTCTACAAAACCGCCTCCGAACCTCCGCTTGGTCTCACCGATGTACAGGAGGCCACATCAGGAGCAGCGGATGCAGTAGACCACGTTTGACAACAACACCACCTTCTGGTCGTGAACCATTTCAGCTCCCTCTCCCACTGACACTCCCTGGGTGACATGTCCATCCTGAGCCTCCTCCAGTGTCACAATGATGCTACCTGCAAACTGGTGGAGCAGCACCTCATATTCCGCCTCAGGAGCCTAGAGCCCAATGGCCTAAACATGGAATTCACCAGTTTCAAAATCTCCCCACCCCCAGCCTCATCCCATGTCCAAGCCTCCCTCTCATCCCCGCCTCCTTGACCTGACACAACCTGTCCATCCGCTGTCCCACCTATTTGCCCCTCCCATCTTACTGACCAATCCCCACCACTCCCTACCTGCACTCACCTATCACCATCCCATTTACTTTCACCAGCCCCACCCCTCCTCTCTATTTATTTCTGAGCTCCCTTGCCCCTCACCATTTCTGAAGAAGGGTCCCGACCCCAAATGTCAACTTTCCTGCTCCTCTGATGCTGCCTGGCCTGCTGTGTTATCCACACTGTGTTATCTCTGACTCCAGCATCTGCAGTTCTTACTATCTGGATTTTTGTGCAGTTCGGTTCTCCAGAGTTCTGCTGTTCAAAAATCCTGAAGTTGAATTCTTTAGTATTTTCTGTCTTGTTAAGCTTGTGGTGTGATATTACTTATAACACTTCTGAGGTCACCAAGTGTGTGACTTGCTTTCTTATTAGGAATGAATGCCAGCTGCTCTCAACCTAATTTCTCTGTTCCCTGTCTACATTCAGTGTTAGCTGTCTTGTCAAAACACAGCCTGTCTTGCCATTTAACTCCTTAAATTCTCCCGCAGGCAATCTTAATTTCCCGTTTGTCACACGGCAGCTAGTCATCAAGCAGATGTTACCTCCTCTCTCCCAGGAAACAGTTTGTCTATGCTGCATCAACATTTTTCCTCAGGGATGGTTAATTGGATTGTTGCTTTTAATTCCTTTTTAACAGCTTGCCTTTGTCTCTTTTTATCTCAGGAAACAGTTTATTCCAGAAAGAGTTAATGCAGATTCCTTCATTGCGTGAACAGTTATTAAAGTTCTGAAGTTTTCAGTGTCACAAATCGAATTGCTATGGGTCTGGAATCACATGCAGGGCAAACAGAGTAAGGATGGTAGATTGTTTTCCCTCAAGGACTCCAGTAAAGCAGATCAGTTTTGCTACAGTCAGTGATAACTGATGATAATAAATTATGAATAATCTAGAAATTCCAAATCTTTTTGCTTGGCATTAATGTTTTCACAGAATGTTTTCATTCTGATATCGCAGAATATAACCATAGATATTGGATACAGAGACCATCTGACCCCAGTTCTAGCTGTTTATCTGAAGCTGACTACTGTGAGCTCTTTCCAA